TCCACTCACAAGTTTCCTAGCACACTGCTTTCAGTGATCTTTCACCTCATAATTCCTCAGTGACTCACAAGTACACATGGGCTAGAAAGTGCACACTGAATTTATCTAGTTTCATCTACTTTCATTCCTAACCTTGCTCTTCACCCACTAATGACACTGACCTACATATAGCTCCAAGAACACACCATCTTCTCATAATGCCATACAACTGCTCATACTATTATCTCCTCCTGGAAATGCTGTCTGCTGTTGTCAAGCTGCCTACTATTACTCAGCTTCCAAGTCTCAACTCAAACACAACCACTACTAAAACCCTTCCTTGATATTCCCAACAGGGATCAAGAGTTCATGCTAGGTTTCCTTTGCATTTGTAGTACCTCCAGTATAGCAAAACTGCATATTGTATTTGAATATAGACACTCATAGTTCTACTACACTACAATCCCATTAGCTAAGGACAGTGACTTTTCATCTTTATATCCTCAGCACTATTTCAATGCATGCAGCATATAATTAAAAAATAAATAAAATAGTGAGGGGAAAGTTAATGAATAAACTCTAGGCCAAAAAAAGGGCAAGAAAGTCAACTGTACTTAGCATATAGAAAAAAGAGAGAGAGCAGGAGAGCTAAAGGAAGTACAAACATCTATTATTAAGTCTTATCCAAAAAACAGAAAAATAAGGTTATCCAGGCTTTATCAAGGTTACAAAGAAAAACAGTCATTATTGGACTAAGCAGGAAATAAGAAGCTAAGAGTTTCCAGTGGAACAGCTGGACAAAAATAGAGAGGCTAAAGGAAAAGATGGTTCTTTCTATGAGCCAAGCAATTCACAGAGCTAAGTCCATGGACTTCTCTCAACAATTCACCAGCTTTCTCCTTTGTCATTATTCTACATATGCCTTTTCCAGGTCCCACTACCAAGTCCCAAGGACAACTGCCCTCCATTGAAGCCACAAGTCCTGGCTAGTATGTTAGTTTGGATATAAGGGTGGGCTCAGGAGGGGGGTCTTTGGTCTTGCATCCAGGACCTAGAGGAAAAATGAAACTACTTTTATTAAGAACCTATTCTGTAGCAGATATTTTACCACTTTACCATCACTGAACCTCACTTTAATCATGAGTAACTATTCCATTTTTCAGATAAAATATTTGTGTCCAAGGTCACACGGTTAAACAATGACAGGGCCAACCCTAAAACGGAGGAAGGTGAGCCTCCAGAATTTTTTTATGCCCCTCACTATCTCAAAATTGAGATGAATGTGTCCAGCCATTCTAGGTTGGAACTCAAAATACATTTTCTCCAAAAATTATTATTATATGTATTAGAGTATACACTTACCATTGTTAACAGAATGGACACTTGATGAATGAAAAATAATAAATAAAAGATTTAGCGCTCTCACCTGCACATGTAAATGCTATTTGTTATTTCATTCCTATAAGTATATCATTAACATATACACAATAGGCTTGAAATGAACCTTTGGAATACAACTGATTCCCAAGTGAAGCTTTTCTTCTAAGAATATTTTTGCTTCTACAAAAACTCAATGTAAAATCACCAAAGATAGAAATATTTCACCTTGTTAACTTGTAAGAACAATGACACTAGAAGACACCTGTGGGAAATGTGCTTATCTGACCAGGTGCTCATTTTCAGTGTGCTGTCATTTGAATAAAACATCATACTAAACCCTATAGACCAGAGCTTATAATAGATATGCTACAAACTACAGCAGCAGAGCTGATATGCCCATAATCTACTGACAAAATGTACTCCTTAGCAAAATGAAACCAGATGTCTGGTGTGAAATCAAATGTCTGTGGACTTGTCTTTCTCAGCTTCCAGAGCAGTATTAGATACACTAAATACACAGCTTAGCTGTATATTAAACTCACAACTTGGCAAAATCATGACAGTTTGGACATGAAGCGTCAGCATTTTTATTGTAATTCTTATAAACCAAAGACATTTCTGAAATAGAAATCCTAACTTTAAGCACTCAGCTAAATGCAGTAGTATGTCTTTCTCACTTTGGGAGCAGTGTCAGAGCATTTTAAACACATTATAGAAACCCTTTCCCTTCATTTTTCAAGCTGACATTTTCTAGGCAGGGCTGAAGAATGATCTGATAGGGGGAAATGGAGCCACATCAGTTGACAGTCCTTGTCCCAGATATCTTAGGATCAGATATGGTAGGTGATCTGTGAAAATGCATATGCCCAGGAATGCATAGTACCTATAGGAAAGTAAGTACCAGACTATCTTCCACTATCAAAAGAAAGAACATAAGAAATGAGGAGTGATTAGATAGAAAAACAGGGAGGAAAATTAACAGTGAATATCTACATGCCAGGCACTGTTTTTTACACAGTCTTTTTTATTTACTCAGTATATTATTTTGACAGATGATAAATCAAGGAGCAGAGCAGTTTTAACTACTCCATAATGACACAGTTAATAAAATAAAGGCAAGGATTATAACCCATATCTAAAAGACTATAGGGGCTGGAGAGGTAACTGAGTGGTAGAGCTCTTGCCTAGCAATGCATAAGGCTCGGTTTCATAAGGCCACAAAAAATAAAAAATAAAAAACAGCTTGGGAGGTTGAAGCAGAAGGATCATAAGTTCAAAGCCAGCCTCACCAACTTAGCAAGGTCCTAAGCAACTTAGTGAGACCCTGTCTCAAAATAAAAATATAAAAAATGGCTGGGGCTGGGGCTCAGTGGTTAAGCACACCTGGGTTCAATACCTGGTACTGAAAAAAAAAAGACTATAAAAGCCATGTTACTTCTACATGAGAATTTGAGGGAAAGCAAGGAATGATAGTAAATAGCCAAAATGGTGGAGGAAAATAAATTTATAATTTCATCAAAAAACAATATACACATGTATATACACATACATCTTATGTTTTATACATGTCCTACATGTATTAACATATAACTAAATTGTATGTATTTAACATATCGTTGTGTGCTAGATATATATAAGGAACAAAAAGTTGAAGAAATAAATACCAAATTGTTAAAAGTAGTTATCTTGAGAGTGGGCTTGGGGCTGGGATGTGGCTCAAGCGGTAGTGCGCTCGCCTGGCATGCGTGCGGCCCGGGTTCGATCCTCAGCACCACATACAAACAAAGATGTTGTGTCCGCCAAATACTAAAAAATAAATATTAAAAAAAAAAAAATTCTCTCTCTAAAATAAAAAAAAAAAAAGAGAGAGAGTGGGCTTACATGAGACCAACTTCCTGCCTTTCATATTCCTGCAAGATTTAATTCTAAACAACTTGGTTTTAACCTTATAAACTTCTACAACCAAAAAAAGACAAAGGACATTTCTTGTTTCAATAAAATGCAGTTAAATGTACAAAAATCCATGCACATCACAGTTTACTTCAGTATTTATTTTCTACATGCATCATCGTTAACTCTCCATATTTTCTAATATTAGGACTTCTTATGGAACAATTCAAAAAGTTAACCCCAATTAATTATTGTACTCACACAATATATTTATTACACTGGAAAATCACTAAAATACTATTCACTTTAGTACACAAATCATGGTCAGTTATCCTTGAAAGTCTATTACTGACTGTAATAAGGCAGAATAATAATACTATTCTCCCACAACACTATATAGACTTGCAAATCATTAAGATCCATAGTAGCCAGGTGTGGTGGCACACCCCTGTAATCCCAGCAGCTGCGGAGGCTAAGGCAGTAGGATCCTGAGTTCAGCAAAAAGGAAGACACTAAATAACTCAGTGAGACCCTGTCTCTAAATAACATACAAAATAGGGCTGGGGATGTGGCTCAGTGGTCACGTGTCCTTGAGTTCAATCCCCAGTACCAAAAAACAAAAGATCCGTGGTATAGGAAAGTTTTTACACATAATTATTTTACACATAATTATTCGGAAAATCCACAGAACACTGGTGAAAGGGCCCATCCAAAATGACCATCTCCAACAGTCTCTCACTATCCCACTTTTATCAAAGTGTCCAGCACATGGAAAGAAAGAGCTAACAAGCATCGATTCAGTCAATACCTGAATACATCATCAATAAACAACCACATCCTGGTTTTTTATAAAATAAATTATGTGGTCACCTACCACTTGGGCACAAATTGAAGGAAGTAACCAAGAAGCCAATGGTAAGATATAGAGGGCAATTCTAGTTAAATAATTTAAAATGTTTATTTTTATGTGACTTATATGAGGCCAACGGGTCCACAACCATCTGAGAGAAGCTGTGTTTCATTGCCTCACACCAAAAACAGGAAATCAGTATACTAGTGAAGTGATGGAAAGGTCCCAGAGAAGAACCAATGAAAGAGAAGACCATGGAAATCACAGTGAACTTCCCAGGACCTCAATGTGCTGTTCAGCAAATCTTCAAAAGTGAACAAAATGCTTGTAAGAGGGCATCAAAGTGAAAGTCAAAAGTAAAGGGCCCAGCCTGGTAATTTCTCTCCTCCACAAATTTCCTCTTCCATAGCCCTGAGAGCAGATCCCAAAAGAACTTGGGCATTTGTGATATTGCCAATAACACTGTCCTTCAGGATCCTAAAGGATTTTTTTCAGTAATCCTCTTTTAAAACATAAAAATCTCCGGAGGGGTTTCAATTAATTATCAATCAAGACCTTGATTCTTTAAAACCCTGCAGTCCCAGAGATTAGTCAAATCTCGCTAATAAGATATGGGCCCAAGACAGGAACCCTATAGGACCAACCTTCCAAGTTAAAATAGGTGAAAGGAAATGAATTTTCTGTCAGGCCATTTCACTAAGTCCAAGCTGTCAAACTTCTAGGCGACTCTACAAACTGCAAACCTGCAAAAAGTCTTGGGCTAGAGGCCTTTGACCTTTGAAGGTGGGTCTTCAGTTTCTGGTGAAAAGTAGACTTTGGACACAAGTTTGTTTTCTCTCTCTCTCTCTCTCCCCCAGGAGGAAGCCCTAGCTCCTTCCACCCCTGATTGATCCTTACTTACCCTTTCTCCCGCTCTTCCTCGGTGAGAAGGGGTAAGTGGTTATTTTGTGCCCTCGCCCAATTTGGTCAGAACCCTAAAAGTAAAAAACGACAGAGACAGACACGTCCTTTAAAAATCTTTTTGCTCGAGCCTGAGGAACTCCCACCACCTGCCCAACACTACCAGGCAGCCTGTCCCCACAGCGCTCCCTCATGGGCAGGGTTGAGGTCAAGGGTAGGCGTGCTCTGGGGCGACCCTGCCACGGGGACCACCGGTTTCATAACCGGGTAAGCCTGGAGGAGGAAAGACAGGAACCGCGACCGCACGGGCCTCAGATAAACACGCGCAGGCACACATGTTCTCGGTCGCCTGGCGGCCCAGCAGCTCTCCGCCTCCGAGCAGCGCCCACTCCGCGGGATGCCAACCCTGGGGAAGAGTCCCAGGCCCAGGGGACCACCAAGGGTTGGCAGCTAGGCGCCCGATCACCCACCCCCTACCCGCCGAGGGGCGCCAGCCCTCCGCACCCGCTGCGCCGCTCTACCCAGGGGAAGTCCCTACGCGGGCCCCGCCCCCGCCGGCGGCAAGCCCCGCCCCGACCCCTAGCGCAAGGGCGGCGGCCCGAAGCTCCACCCCCGGCGGAAAAGCGGCCCTGGAGCGCCTGGGTCGAGCCTGAAACCTGGCCTGGATCTCCAACGGATCAGGAACAACACCCATTTGGCAAGCAATGACATGTATTAGAAGCACTTATGTAAACTCAGCACCGTACTGATGGCGTAGAGGGCAATAAAGAGCGGAAAATCTAGGAAACCATCTAGTCAACTCTTCTCGTTATTTTACAGGCCTGGAAACCAATACCTTATAGTTCCTTGAATGCACAGCTATAGAGACCAAGCGCTTCTCTCTCTCTCTCTCTCCTTTCTGGTGACTTCTTTTTATTCATGTACACACAGAATACTATTCAGTTTTGCTGCCTCTAAGCGAAAGGAGTAATCAAGAATAGGTGAAATCACCAGAAAGTTTATACTTGAGTTTTCGCCATCAAATTTTCAAAAATTCAAACTCTTAACTGGGTTCTCTGCTACAACCTACAAAGAAAGTGTAACAACTTATTTAATGGACATAATATAATCTCCTCTTTTTCATTCCTCCAATTATACTTTATCATTTGTTTCTGTGTTTCCTCTGAATGTATGGTTTTCAGATCGCTTAGTACTACCTCATGTTCAGGCACTCAGGATTCAAAATTAATTCTAAAGGTTTAAGAATCTACTCAAAGACTTAAAAGTCTTGATAACTACAATTCTAAGAGTCTCCTAAAGAGAACAAACTTTCTTTCTTGTGAAGGACATACGTAACAGTTATTCTTGTCACAGAAATAATTACTATAAGGTAAACTATTTTCTGCCATGCTTAATGACTTCATTCCACAAGTACTTAGGTCACAGGACCACCCTCTTCCAATGGCAGTCAGTACCTATTTATTATCTGGACTGGGTTCTTTTGGAATTGTGAACCCAAATTAAACAGGTCCTAGTCACTAGGACCTGACAGTCTGTGATGGAATGTACAATAGATAAACAAGCCAAGACAGGTGGATGTGGCTTTTATTATAGTGGAATGTGAATAAACATACAAAATGTTGCAAAGTTGATCTAACTTTGTCACTAAGATTCATCAGATGTGATTAAGAAGCAGCATCAGAGGCCCGGATTGTGGCTCAGAGGTAGAATGCTAGCCTATCATGTGTGAGGCACTGGGTTCAATCCTCAGCACCACATAAAAATAAATAAGAGAAAGGTATTGTGTCCAACTACAATTAAAATGAAGAAGAAGAAGAAGAAGAAGAAGAAGAAGAAGAAGAGGAGGAGGAGGAGGAGGAGGAGGAGGAGGAGGAGGAGGAGGAGGAAGAAGAAGAAGAAGAAGAAGAAGAAGTTTGAAAACCTGTATGATACTAACTATAAGACATCCTAGAAATGGAAAAACTGTAAAGACAATGAAAAGATCAGGGATTTGGGGTAGGAAGGGATGAACAGGAAGAACACAGGATTTTTAGGTCAGTAAAACTATTCTGTAACATACCATAATGACGATGCCTGTTATTATACATTTGTCAGAACCCACAGAATGTACAGCATGAAGATGAACCTTGATGTAAACCCTGAAGTTTAATAATGATGTTTCAGTGTAGGTTATCAATCACAAAAAGTATACTTCTCTGATGCAGGAAGTTGATAGGGAGGCTGAGCATGCTTGGTATCGAGGTATATATGGGAAATCTGTCCTTCCTGCTCCATTTTGCTCTGAAACTAAAACTACTCTTAAAAAATAAATAAATAAATAAAGGAACTGAAGACAAGGGGCTGAGGCTGTGGCTCAATGGTAGAGTGCTTGCCTAGCATGTGTGAGGCACTGGGTTCTATTCTCAGCACCACATATAAATAAATGAATAAAATAAAGGTCCATACATCTAAAAAGGAACTGAAGACAAGACTGTGAATATCCCATTTAGTTTAACTTATTCCAAGCTAAAACTCAAATTTGACAATTCATATCAACCATCACATTTCTGAAAGTTTTTCAAAGTTTTTACTATACCAACACCAAGGAAACTGATATTCTTATTTGAATTAATATGAAAACATTTGAAATTTAATTTATATCCTTCATCAGGAACTTTTTGAGAAACTTTGAATATGAATTATACCATCTGGAAAAATGAAACTTTGGTAAGTAGTTATTAATCCCAACTTTAGGTATGCTTACAATGAATAGTATATAGCTCCTTTTATATAAATAACATAAATGTGAGCCTAAAATAAAAATAAAACAAGCAATTATGGTTTCAAAATACATAAATATAGGGCTGGGGTTGTGGCTCAGCGGTGGAGCGCTCACGTAGCACGTGTGAGGCCCTAGGTTCAATCCTCAGCACCACATAAAAATAAATAAATAAAATTATTTTTAAAAAAGCATAAATATAGGGCATAAAGTTATTTTTTGGAAAAAAAATGTAGATTTATAATATAGCTTTCATTTTTAGTACAAATAAAAAGAATCTTCCAGTTTGGGATTTTTAAGTATATTTCCAATTAATAAAAATCAGGGCTGTAGAATTTCAGGTCTGGACTATGGGATGGGCTTGGGATATCTTGTGCCACAAAACAAGTAATCCAAACAACAAATAAGATGTTAAAGGGACACAGAAACCAACATCAAGGGGCTCCTTTGGCCAAAGGTGGGACAAATTTAAGCATCAAAAAAAGTAATATATGCAGCTGTTTTAAACATAATATATAAAAATTCATGATATCTTAATGATGCTCCAAAGGAGATAGGCAAAAAAAAAAAAAAAGAGGAAAAAAGAAAGAAAATCACTGGACACTATTACAAGTAACTAGCACAAACTTCTTATTCTAAAATTGTCAGTTGAAAGAAAATCATTAAAACTTATATTGCCTTATAGTTGTTGAGGGAAAATTTATTATTATTATTATTATTATTATTATTATTAAAGAAACAGTAGAATTGGAAAACCTCCATTTAACAATCCCACATGTAAAAAAATGATTTAAGAAATAATCATCAATGGATGAAACCATTAGGTTACTGGTTGATGAGAAACTTAACAATGGAAATCAATTGTCACCACCTGAGCCTAATCAAATATTGCTACAAGTAGGACACCAGAAAATGTGTTTCCTGGTCTAATGTCATCTGAAGAGCTCCATATACTATGATGTGTTCTTGCCAGGAAAACAAAAATGGAATCTAATCAATACTTAAAACTGACTTCATTGCCTCTCAGAGACTTTCAAGAAACATGAGACTTAGAAGAAGAACTTAAATAACACCACAAAGACGTTAATGAAGAAATTTAGAATGTGAACACTCTATAAGATTACTGACACAGTTTTCTCTGTGCAACTAGTTGATAACAGGGGGTGAAAAAAGAGGAAAGGGGTCAGGAGAAGCTTCTGACCTGAGCATGATTCAAACGTCAGAATTACAAAAAAGACCTATGACAACCATGGATGTGTGACTATGAACCAATATTAGGCAATACCAAGGAAATATTGCTATTTCATCCAAATAATTTTATTGTACTTATGTAAAAATGTCTATAATTTTTTTAAAGACATTCTGAAGTATATTGAAGTTAAATGACATACTCTGATATGTGCTTAAAATACTTCAAGAAAAAATTAAAAAGGAGAGAAGAAAGATAAAACTATTGATGACAAAAAAAAAGATGTGTTGAATGTAGAGGATGCAGGGGTTCTTTTTACTTTTCTCTCTATGTTTGTATGTTTGAAATTTTTCATAATGAATATTTAAATATAAATGACTGCTTTAGGGCTGGGGCTGGGGCTCAGTGGTATCGCACTTGCTGGCATGTAGGGAGCAATGGGTTCAATTCTCAGCACCACATATAAATAAAAAAAAAAATTAAAGTCTATCAATAACTTAAAAATTTTTTAAAAATAAATAAATAAATATTAATGACTGCTTTAGCCAAGATTTCCTAGAAAACACAACTGAGACTTATAAATACTAACATTTTATTGGAGGGCAGGGCATATGCAAACCTAGAAAAGCAGTAAGAGGAGAGAAGGGACAGAGGAAGAAGATATACAGTGATGTTTGTTTATAAGCTGGTTATAGCCTCACAGTTTACACCTTGCTTGCTGAGTCACATGGATTGTCTCAAGAGGGCTGTATGATCCACTGTATAACAGTCATAGTCAGGAGGGCAAAGGGCAAAAGCCTCCTTACTATCTCTTCTATGAAAGAGAAAAAGCACTTGAAGAAAAAGACTAGGGGGAATGGCAGTGAAATGGAAATGAAGACAAATAACTGTCTCATGATGTGACTGAGATTTATTTATTCTCACTATTTAGGTGACTTTCCAGTTTAGTAAAGACAACTTTTAATTTAACTTCTTGACTGGAATAATCATTCTGCTTAATCTTTTTATCTCAAAAATAATTTATTCACAAATGTTATACATTGTATCCATGTAACACTGTACACCATAAACATTTACAATTAATGTGTCAATTAAAATATGGCAAAGTAAATAAAGAAATAATTTATTTAGGCAGTCTTTTTTAAAAGTTATTGATTCTAATTTGTTATACATGACAGCAGAATGAATTTCAGTTCATAGTATACAAACAACACAATTTTTCATATCTCTGGTTATACACAGAGTCACATCATTCATGTCTTTATACATGTATTAATGTCCATCTCATTCCACCATCTTTCATTCCCCATACCCCATCCCTTTCCCTTGTACCCTTTTGCTCAGTCATGTGGGTTGTCTCAAGAATTCTTCCTTTCCTCCTGTGTTCCTCCCAACCCCCATTATGGATCAGCATCCACTTATCAGAGAGAACAAACATCCGGCCTTTGGTTTTATGGGATTTGGCTTACTTCACTTAGCATAATATTCTCCAGCTCCATCCATTTACCTGCAAATGCCATGATTTTATTCTCTTTTAATGCTGAGTAATATTTCATTGTGTGTATATACCACAGTTTCTTTATCCATTCATCTATTGAAGTACATCTAGT